GTTAACCCTTTGGGGGTCGCCAGGCCCTCTCAGAGACTTGTTCTCAGGGTCGCCAAAATTAAAAAAAAAAATTATTTTTTTTTTATGAAAAGATGGAGAATCTTCTCCCGATCATAATGACACCAAAAGTATGAAATTTGATGGAAAACTTACGGAATTATGCTCTCGCGAAGTTAGCGGTCTTGACGATGTTTATGCATTGGCGATTTTGCCCACTTTGAGCCCTATTTTCGGCCAATTCCAATGTACTAGTCGACAAAAATCATAACTATTTCGCTAGAACTCCATTTTTTCTATCGAATAAGTACAAGAAACCACCCAATTTTTCTTTATCTAAATTATTTGATATCCTCATCACCTTACTTTTATGTATGTTCACTTTCAACTTTCTACCTTTACACACCCTCCCAAACTCATCCACTAACCTTTCCAACTTTTCTTTAGAATCTCCCAGAAGCACAGTATCAGCAAAAAAGTAACTGTCAACTCCCATTTTTTACTTGATTCCCCATAATTTAATCCCATCCCCTCTTCCCAACACCCTAGCATTTACTTCTTTCACAACCGCATCTATAAATATATTAAACAACCACGGTGACATTACACATCCCTAAGACCTACTTTTACCAGGAAGTAATCTCCCTCTCTACTACACACCCTAACCTGAGACTCACTATCCTCATAAAAACACTTTACAGCATAAAACTATAGTTATTCTCTATAAAAAGCATTTTTTGTTAATATTTTCCATAAGAAATAATATACTGTGGACCCTCGACCAACGATGGCATCGATTAACGATAAATCTGACTAGCGATACATTTTAAAGCAAGAATTTTGCCTTGACTAGCGCTTAAAAACCCGACCAGCGCTATTCGTTCCGTACCATACGCGTCCACTTTGGCCTGAGCGCACCTCACTTGTCCCTTGGGTGCCAGTGTTTACAAGCCAGCCAGCCACCGCGGTCGCTTGCAAACATACAACTGGAACATTTCATATTATCACAGCCTTTTTAGTGATTGCACCTGCAAAATAAGTCACCATGGGCTCCAAGAAAGCTTCTAATGCCAACCCTACAGCAAAAAGGGTGAGAATTACTATGGAGATGAAGAAAGAGATCATTGATAAATATGAAAGTGGAGTGCGTATCTCTGAGCTGGTCAGGTTGTATAATAAACCCCAATCAACCATCGCTACTATTGTGGGCAAGAAAACGGCAAACAAGGAAGCTGTTCTTGCCAAAGGTGCAACTATGTTTTCGAAACTGAGATCACAAGTGATAGAAGATGTTGAGAGACTTTTATTGGTGTGGATAAGCGAGAAACAGATAGCAGGAGACAGCATCTCTCAAGCGATCATATGTGAAAAGGCTAGGAAGTTGCATGACGATTTAATTAGAAAAATGCCAGCAACTAGTGATGTGAGTGAATTTAAGGCCAGCAAAGGTTGGTTTGAGATATTTAAGAAGCATAGTGGCATTCATAGTGTGATAAGGCATGGTGAAGCTGCCAGTTCGGACCACAAATCGGCTGAAAAATATGTGCAGGAATTAAAGGAGTACATAGACAGTGAAGGACTGAAACCTGAACAAGTGTTTAATTGTGATGAAACAGGCCTGTTTTGGAAGAAAATGCCAAGCAGGACATACATTACTCAGGAGGAAAAGGCACTCCCAGGACATAAGCCAATGAAAGACAGGCTTACTCTGTTCATGTGTGCCAATGCTAGTGGTGATTGCAAAGTGAAGCCTTTATTGGTGTATCACTCTGAAACTCCCAGAGTGTTCAGGAAAAACAATGTCCTCAAGGCTAATTTGTGTGTGCTGTGGAGGGCAAACAGTAAGGCATGGGTCACTAGGGACTTTTTCTATGACTGGTTACATCATGCATTTGCCCCCAATGTGAAAAATTACCTAATTGAAAAGAAATTAGACCTTAAGTGCCTCCTGGTATTAGACAATGCTCCTGGTCATCCTTCAGACTTGGCAGAGCGACTTTCTAGGGACACGAGCTTCATTAAGGTGAAGTTTTTGCCTCCTAATACCACTCCTCTCCTGCAGCCCATGGACCAGCAGGTTATTTCCAACTTCAAGAAACTGTACACAAAAGCTATGTTTGAAAGGTGCTTTGTAGTGACCTCAGAAACTCAACTGACTAAGAGAGTTTTGGAAAGATCATTTTACCATCCTCAATTGTGTAAACATTATAGGTAAGGCTTGGGAGGAAGTGACTAAGAGGACATTGAACTCTGCTTGGAAAAAACTGTGGCCAGAATGTGTAGACAAAAGGGATTTTGAAGGGTTTGAGGCTAACCCTGAGAATCCTATGCCAGTTGAGGAATCCATTGTGGCATTGGGGAAGTCCTTGGGGTTGGAGGTTAGTGGGGAGGATGTGGAAGAGTTGGTGGTGGAGGACAGTGAAGAACTAACCACTGATGAGCTGCTAGATCATCTTCAACAGCAAGAGGCCACACCTGAGGAAACTGCTTCGGAGGAGGGGAGAGAGAAATTGAAGAAGTTGCCTACTTCTAAGATAAAGGAAATGTGTGCAAAGTGGCTTGAAGTGCAAACCTTTTTTGATGAAAATCACCCTGACACAGCTACTGCAAGCCGTGCTGGTGACTATTACACTGACAATGTTGTGAACCACTTTAGGAAAGTCAAACAGGAACGAGAGGTACAGGCCTCTATGGACAGATATGTTGTGCGACAGAAGTCCAGTGACTCTGAAGCTGGTCCTAGTGGCATTAAAAGAACAAGGGAAGTAACCCCAGAAAAAGACTTGCTGCCTCAAGTGCTAATGGAAGGGGATTCCCCTTCTAAACACTAACACCTGTCCCCTCCTCCCATCCCATCAATCATCACCAGATCTTCAATAAAGGTAAGTGTCATGTAAACTGTGCATGTAAATCTTCAGTTTGTTGTGTAGTTAAAATTAATATTTCATGTGGCAAAAAATTTTTTTTTCAATACTTTTGGGTGTCTTGCATGGATTAATTTGATTTCCATTATTCTGTATGGGGAAAATTAACTTGACCTAATGATAACTTGACTAACGATGAGCTTCTCAGGGAACTGAGTTAAATCTGCGGTTGAGGGTCCACTGTAAATCCAATTAATCCTTGCCACTCCAAAAAAAAATTACAAAATTAATCAATTTTTTAGAGAAATAAACATATACAAGTTGATATTAATGGTGGAAATAAATTCAAATGGAACATTGACACAGTTTACTTTTTGCGACTGAGTCGTGCTTATGGTAGTGATTCTAAAGAAAAAGTTGACCAAAGTTGTGAAGTGTAAGGGAAGGGGAATTGCTTGTAAAGGCTAAAAGTTAAATTCAATCATAGAAAAAGTAAGTGTCATGAAGTGTCATGATTTAGTAAGAATTGGATATCAAATTGAATGATTATGGCAAAAGTAATTTTTTCAATACTTGGTTGCGTGTCGGCATGGATTTATAGTGAGTTAATCCATAGATATTGATGGGGAAAAAAGTGACTGTAGTGACGTTGGAAGGTATATGTGGAGTCACAAAAATTATCTAGGAGGCCCCAAAAGAATGAAAGAATGAAAGTATAGAGAAAACTAACAACACTCTTTATATGGTGTGAAGCTGGGTGGTAAATGTAGCAACGAGGAACGGTTGGAGGCAGTGGAGATGTCTTTAAGGGCAATGTGTGGTGTGAATATAATGCAGAGAATTCATGTAGGAAATTAGGAGAAGGTGCGGGATTAAAAACTATTATCAGAGGGCAGAGAGGGGTTGTTGAGGTGGTTGGACATTAGAGAGAATGGATCAAAACAGAATGACTTTGAAAGCAGTATAAATCTGTAGTGGAGGAAGGCGGGGTAGGGGTCGCCTAGGAATGGTTGGAGAGAGGGGGTAAAGGAGTTTTGGGGAGAGGGGCTTGGACTTCCAGCAAGCGTGTGTGAGCGTATTTAGATAGGAGTGAATGGAGACAATGGTAAACTTGACTGCTGCTGGAGTGTGAGCAAGGTAATATTTATGAAGGGATTCAGGAATACCGGTTATTTTCATATAGTCGGACTTGAGTCCTGGAGATGGGAAAAATGCTACATGTCAGGGCTCTGAGGAATGTGGTTATGGGGATATTTTGTAACTGTATGTAGAACCTTGCAGACAGTTCGTGCACCTGCAAAAAATGATATAAAGTTTTCGTGTGTTTTGGTGCACAGTATTTGTGTGTTGGGCAATGTGCTATCAATTTTAGGTTACCTCTGAGGAACGGCTATATGAAAAAAGAGATAAAAACTAGTAATGTAAAAAAGTATTTACAAACCTGTAATAGTGCATGAAAACATATAACTTTGGAGTGAAGTAGGTTGCACAATGAGAGCAAATGAGGGCTTGTCTGGTGGAAAATAATCAGAGGATAGTTCAGGCAAATGGATTTGTGGGGTTCACTCCAAAATTATCCAAGCGTTTAGGGAGTTACTAGATTCGACAGCAGACAAATCGAGCAAAATACAATTAAGTAATAAATGATAATAAATCTAAATAATGGAAGAAAGGCGTAGGGCTCGGTTAGGCATTCTGAAGGCGGGGTAAAACATTTAAAGTGGCTTGACTTCTGAATAGTTTGAGTATTGATAGAAAAATATTATGAATGGCCAGTTTCTATGTATGCCAAGCAGTACGGGTGTGAGCAATAAATTATGGAAGGATCAGTGAAATCTGGCATGCCAACTCCTTCTGGAGATGGGAAGTACAGTGTCTGCACTCTGAAGAAGAGGTGTTAATGTTGCAGTTTTGTAACTGTAGTGTCAAGCAACCCTCTAGCAAGACAGTGATGGAGTGAATGATGATGAAAGTTTTTCTTTTTTCGGGCCACCCTGCCTTGGTGGGAGTCGGCCAATGTGCTATAAAAAAAAAATATATAGTTTTACATACAGAATAGGGTATATGAAAACCGAGGTTCCACTGTACTGTACAGTATTGTAAAACCTGTAATCTACTGACATAAAAACATATATTTACTTTGGAGTTATTAGATTCTCCACCAATAAGGACAAAGGTGGTTCTCCATTAAAAGGTTTCTCAGAGGAAGGCTTCAATGCCACATGTCTTCTTGGTTCACTGTCAAATGGATCATTCATACCTTTTACTGAAGTACCTACATCCTCAGCAGCCAAATTCCCTGCAAATACAATTAAAGAATAAATGAATAATAAATTAAATAAATAAAAATGAACAATCCTCAGAGTATTAAGACGCATTCCTGTCAAAGGCCCTGGGATCAACATTAAAAGTTGCTTTCACCCTGAATAAGTTTGAGTAGTTGTTAATCAGAAAAATACTTATCTACACTGCGCCAGTTATGCTATGCTACTGCCACAAGCACGTAACCAGTGTGTGCTGCATAAAGAGTGATGGCTCAGAGTCCAGTTGCATCATCTGTACTTGTTTAACCCTTTCAGGATCCATAGGCCCTCTCAGAGACTTTTTCTCAGGGTCCCCCAAATTTATAAAAAAAAAAAAAAAATCTTATGAAAAGATAGAGAATATTTTCCCAATCATAATGACACCAAAAGTATGAAATTGATGGAAAACTTACGGAATTATGCTCTCGCGAAGTTAGCGGTCTCAACGATGTTTACGCATCGGTGATTTTGCCCACTTTGAGCCCTATTTTCAGCCAATTCCAATGTACTAGTAGACAAAAATCATAACTATTTCACTAGAACTCCATTTTTTTTTATCGAATGAGTACAAGAAACCACCCATTTACCGATTTCAACTATCCAATACAGTGGTCAGAATTTAGCAATTTTGCCAATTACACACAAATTTCAAAAGATGCCAATTTCCAAACAGGGTCCAGAATAAACAAGAAAGACATTCCTGGCGTTAAAATAACATTTCCTCTGTTCATTAGTCATGTCCCCACGCCCCTCTTACATTCTTTTGCTTTCCATTTTGAATTTTTATTCTCACAAAAAATAGAAGATTTACTGTTATGCAGACTACTGCATTAGTGTAGAAATGGTATAAATAATATCGGCACACATAAGAACATAAGAAAGAAGGAACACTGCAACAGGCCTACTGACCCATGCGGAGCAGGTCCATGTCTCCCCCCGGATTAGACCAATGACCCACCCCCGGATTAGCCCAATGACCCACCCAGTCTGATCATCTCCACTCAAGGATGGAGCACTGCACCAGACCCAGCAGCACAAGCTAGTCAGGTCCAACTCACACCCACCCACACCCACTCATGTATTTATCTAACCTATTTTTAAAACTACACAACGTTTTAGGCTGAATAACTGTACTCGGGAGTTTGTTCCACTCATCCACAACTCTATTACCAAACCAGTGCTTTCCTACATCTTTTCTGAATCTGAATTTTTCCAACTTGAAACCATTGCTGCGAGTCCTGTCTTGGCTGGAAATTTTCAGCACGCTATTTACATCCCCTTTATTTATTCCTGTTTTCCATTTATACACCTCGATCATATCCCCCCTAATTCTATGCCTTTCTAGAGTGCAGATTCAGGGCCCTCAGTCTATCCTAGGACATAGTGAAGATTTCTGATACATGGGATCATCTTTGTCATCCTCCTCTGTATGTTTTCCAGAGCATTTATATCCATTCTGTAATACGGTGACCAGAACTGAGCAGCATAGTCTAAATGAGGCCTAACCAAGGATATATAGAGCTGAACAACCTGAGGACTTCTATTATTTATACTTCTAGATATGAAGCCAAGAATTCTGTTAGCTTTATTGCAAACACTAATGCACTGTTGTCTTGGTTTTAAATTACTGCTAACCAGAACTCCTAAATCCTTTTCGCAATCAGTAGTATTAAGATCTGACACATATGCAACAGTTAGGTATCTTTATTATGAAACGTTTCGCCTACACAGTAGGCTTCTTCAGTCAAGTACAGAAAAGTTGATAGAAGCAGAAGATACTTGAAGACGATGTAATCAGTCCATCACCCTTAAAGTTTTGAGGTGGTCAGTCCCTCTGGAGAAGAGCATTGTTCCATAGTATGAAACAATATTGTTTCATACTATGGAACAATGCTCTTCTCCAGACTGAGGGACTGACCACCTCAAAACTTTAAGGGTGATGGACTGATTACATCGTCTTCAAGTATCTTCTTCTTCTATCAACTTTTCTGTACTTGACTGAAGAAGCCTACTGTGTAGGCGAAACGTTTCATAATAAAGATACCCAACTGTTGCATATGTGTCTTACCTAACAACCTGTCGGTATTTTATACCATTTTAATGTTCAATCTGTCAGACACTGCAACAAAAGGGTATCTTGGTACGCCCTGCAATAACTTCGACAACTTCACAAATGAGGGGGGCTGGTTTGAGGGGGGGGGGGGGACCTGACCTTCAAATCTGAGTTCTTACCTCTCCTAGGGCCCTCGTTCCCTTTTTGGCGCTAAAAAAGCTCCCCCTGTCACTTCTTCTCCTATTTTTTCATACTAGGGGAAAAATGCTCTTCTCCAGCTGAGGGACTGACACCTAAAAACTTTGGGGTGAGGATGTTACATGTCTTAAAGTATCTTCTGCTTTATCAATTTTTCTGTATTGGAAAAAGGTATGTGTAGGTAAACGTTTCAAAATAAAGATATCTAACTGTTGCTATGTGTCTTCCTAAAAACTGTCGGTATTTTTCCCATTTTAATGTTCAGTTTTAAGATTACATCTTTTTATTCATTTGTGGCAATGGTTTTTACCTGCCAACATTTGGATTTTGCATTTGTAAATTTAAAACGCATCTGCCATTTCCCCGCCATTGCATCATTATTCAAATCATCCGGGAGTGTCTAGTGTCCTCATTGAATGAATTGGACGGCCTATTTTGGTGTCTCGCAAATTTGCTTATGTCGCTATTTATTCCCTCATCTATGTCATTTATGTAATTTGAACAACAACGGGCCAACACTGCCCCCTGGGAACACCGCTTGTGAGTGCCCCCATCCTAAATTTTTCCCCCATTTTGCAAACTCTCTGCTGGCTTTTTGTCAGCGTCCTTCCCGGGAAAAAAAATTTCCCCTCCTATTCGTGTGCCTTAAGTTTCCCTTGCCTCTGGTGGGGAAAACTCTATCGAAAGCTTACGAAGTCCAATACACAATTTTCATTTTTCATTACCTTTACCTCCTAAAACACCTTAGTGAAAAAAGTTAAAAAAATCATAAGACAGGAACGCCTTTTTTGTAAAAACCGTGTTGGTTTTTTTTAAATCAATCTGTGCCTGTCAAGAGGGCTACAAATTGCTTCGGCAATTTTTGATTCCAAAAATTTTCCCGCTATGGGGGTAAGGCTTATTGGTCTAATTCAAACCCAAGGACCTTCACCTGCTTGTAAATGGGTATTAATTTGCCTTTTCCCCATTATCAGGCCTATGCCAGTTTGTAGTGAATTTTAAAAAAGATTGCCAAAAGGTATCTAATTTTCCTCTTACTTTCCCTTTTAAACACCCTTGCAAAAGTTCTCAGGCCCTGGGGTTTTGTTAGGTTTTAGTTTTCATTTGTTGGGGACCATGTCACGGGGGTTTACTGCAACGTACTAGTTTATTAAACCTGTTCTCAAAATAGTGGGGTTGGTAAACAACCCCCCAGGGAAGTATTTACGTCCTACCAGATGCTGTGAAAAAAAACCTGAACTGTTTGGCATGGGGGTGGGATTGCGGGTTTCTTTTCTGTCTCTAAACAGCATAACGGGGATATCTTGCTATCCTACTTACACTTTGGTCACATTCACGACACGCCATGCATTTAATCATACATCTATTTTTCCCTTTTCTAAATAGCTCTTGTTCTTCTTTTATTTCTTCTATTGTCCATGGGGAAGTGGAAAAAATTTTCCTCCGTAACATGCGTGTCGTATGAGGCGACAAAATCCCGGGGGGAGCAATGGGCTGAAACCCCCTTCTCCTGTGGGACATTACAAAAAAAGGGGGGGAAAAAAAACTTTATAAAATGGTGTTTAAAATGTGCGGGGGATTTTAGTGCGGATGAAAAGAAACAGATGATTGCTGATTTTATGAAAGAAAAGAATTGGATGCCCGGGCCCTAAGCAAACAAAGCGAAGGGGGTAGGGGGTTTTCAGTGGGGGAAAATAAATGGGTTAAATCTGGGTATTGAGAGAGTTAGACAAAGTTAGGGTAGCAGTAATGTTAAAGGATCATTAGGGAAAGGGAGAAAAGGAATAAAAATGTGAAAATTCAAGAATTATGTGGATTAAAGTAAAGGTTGGATGCGAAAAGTGGTCATAAAAAGCGGTATGCCCTGGAAAAGGGGGAAAATGGAGGAGAGAGAGTTTTTGGGAGTGTTAAGTGAATGTATGGGAGCCTTTAAACCCAAGTGAGAGAGTAATTTGGTAGGGGACCTGAATGCTAAAGTGGGAGAAATTTTTTGAAGGGTGTGGTAGGTAAGTTTGGGTGCCAGGTGTAAATGTAATGGGACCCTTTGATTGAACTTTGTATAAAAAGGGGGTTTTTGTTTTGGAAATACTTTTTTTAAAAAAAAGGGGGATAAATAAGTATAAAGAATGATGTAGGGCGAAATGACAGTGTTTTTTGGGTTTTAGTTTGGTAGATAAAAGATTTTGAGTGACTTCGGGATTCATGTTTATAGAGGGGCCACAGTTTAAATCAGATCATTTTTTTGGGTTTAGCTACACGGAGTAAAAGGTAGATGGGATCAAGGAGAAAGAAGCATCAGGGAAGAGAGAGGTGAAGGTTTTAAACAAAAAGAGGAGGCGTTGGGAAAGATTAACAGCTATTGGAGGATAGATGGGCAAATGAAGGCAAGGCAATGGGGTCGAAGAGGTATGGGGTAGGTTTAAAAATGTAGTGTTAGAGTGTTTAGCAAAATTTGGGTTACAGGAAAGTGGGTGCGGGAGGGGAAAAGGGTGTGGTGGGTGCGGTGAGGAGTAGTAAAAGGGGGAAAAAAATTGCTATGGAAGTTTTTTCAAAGTGAAGTGATGCAGGGGGAAGAGTATATGGAGAAAAGAGTGGTGAAGCAATGTAAAAAGAGAAAATGAGAGAGTGGGTGAGATGTTATCAAAAAATTTTTTTTGAAAATAAAAAAAAAATTTTGGGTGAGATTAACAAGTTAAAGGGAAACCTAGAGAACAATGGGTTTGTCAGTTAAAAAAAGGGGAGGAGAGTTATTAAATGGAGAGTTAGAGGATTGGGGAAAATGGAGGGAATATTTGAGGAATTGTTAATGTTGATGAAGATGGGAAGCTGTGATTCTGTATAGGGCAAGGGGAATAACATCCCGCAGGGGTGAGGAAAAGCCGTTGTGGTGTGGAGGAATTCGTGGGCGTAGGTAAAAGAAAGGGGGTAAGGGGACCGGGATTGATGGATAAAGATAGAAATGTTAAAAGCAAGTGGGGATATATTTTGGAGTGTTGGGGCAAATTTTTAATAATTATGGAAAAGGGGAAAGGGACCTAGGGATTGGCAGGAGCAGCATAGTTCCTTTGTTAAAGGCAAAGGGGGTAAAAGAGAGTGCAAAAATTATAGGGGGATAAGTCTGTTGAGTATACCCGGTAAAGTGTATGGTAGAGTTTTATTGAAAGAATTAAGAGTAAGAGGAAATAGGTAGCGAGAACAAGGGGCTTTGGAAAGGTAGGGGTGTGGGACCAGGTGTTTACGTGAAAAATATAAGTGAAAAATATTTAGATAAGGCTAAAAAAGGTCTTTGTGGCATTTTGGATTTGGAAAAGGGGTAGCAGGGGGGGTAGGGGGGGAATGTGGGAGATGTTGCAAGTGTTGGTGAGGAGGGAGGTTACTGAAAAACAGTGGAGTTTTTTCGGGATAGTGAGGCTAAAGTTAGAGTATGTAGGGAAAAAAGGGAAATTTTTTTCCCAGTAAAAGTAGGCCTTAGACAAAAGGGGTGTGATGTCACCCTGGTTGTTTAAAAATATTTTTAGTGGGGTTGTAAGAGAAGTAAATGCGAGGGTCTTGGCAAAAAGGCGTGGAGTTAAAAATAAAGAATCAACACAAAGTGGGGTTGTCACAGCTCTCTTTTCGATGCTTTGCTCTTGGGAGTTTTTTAAGAGAAATTGCGAATTGGTGGTGGAAATTTGGTAGGGTGTGCAAAAGAGAAAAAATTTAAAGGGGAATACAGGGAAAAAGGGAAGGTTTTTGAGGATAAAAAAAATTAGGGATGAAAAATAATTCGTTTTGGGGGAGGGGGAGGAGGAGGTGAACGTATTCGTATTGGGAGTGGGTGTCAAATGGGTCTATGAAAAATGAGGGGAATCATAGAAATTTTTGAGGGAAAAAGAGTGGTGGTGCATTTGGGTTTTGGAGACAAAAAAATTTGTCCTTGGAGGCAAAGAGGGGAAAGTAGAGAGTATTTTTACCAAGCCCTTTTATGGGTTTTTGAAGCATGGGGGGATGAATGTTGCAGCGAGGAGAAGGCTGGGGGGCAGTGGAGTGTCAGTTGAGGGCAATGTGTGGGGTGAATATAATGCAGAGAATTCGTAGTTGGAAGTTAGGGAGGTGCGGGATTACCAAAACTGTTGTCCAGAGGGCTGAGGAGGGGTTGTTAGGTGGGTTTGGACATTAGAGAGAAAGGGGGGAAAAAAGAAAACTTCAAGAGTGTATCGTCTGTAGTGGAAGGAAGGCGGGTAGGGGGGCGGCCTAGGAAAGGTTGGGGGAGGGTAAAGGAGGTTTTGTGTGCGGGGGCTTGGACTTCCCAGGCATGCGGGGTTTTGATAGGAGTGAAGGAGACAAATGGGTTTTTAATTTTTGACGGGCGTTGGAGTGTGAGCAAGTACATTTTGAAGGGGTTAGGGAAAAATGGGGCCCGGGTTTAGTCCCGGAGATGGGAAGTACAGTGCCTGCACTCTGAAGGGGGGGGTGTAAATGTTGCAGTTTAAAAACTGTAGGTAAAGCCCTTGGGGAAGACAGTGATGGAGTGAATTTATGGGGAAAGTTTTTCTTTTTTGGGCCCCCCTGCCTTGTGAGAATGGCCAGTGTGATAAAAAAAATAATTCTACATAATTTTATTTCTGGAAAATTTGTAGTATTTTCCCCGGGTGAAATGAGAGGAAGTAGGTATTAGAATTTTACACTATCCTTTCACTGCATTTCTGACCAGAGTTCTCTTTAAATGGGGGAATCTTGTTTCCCCAATCTTACTTCTGATACCCGAAAGAATCCTTTAGGGAATCTTTGATCCCTTTTGACCTTACCTCTAATCCCCTTTTTTTTTTTCTTATTCCTTTCTTTATTTCTCTCTTTAATTGAATATATTGATTTCTTAACTGCCCATCCCCTCTTTTGATATGCCTATATATGCCTTTCTTTTGACCAATGAGATGTTTTAATCTATTGTTCATCCATTTGGGATCATTTTTGTTAGATCTAATTTCCCTACTCGGAACAAAAGTTGTCTGGGCAGCTAGAACTATGCTCTGAAAAACATCATATTGGCAACCAAGATCACCTACCTGACCCATAGTCAAATGAAAGAATATTAGACTCACCAGTTGACGTGTATTGGACGCTTGGCATGATTTGTTTACTTTTGAACTTTGGTAAAAATCAAACATTTCTGCTATTTTGAGCTCAATTTCAAGGTACTTTTCATTGTAAAACCAGTCAAAATCATCTCAATTTCTGTAATATGCCTTCCATTCTATAGAATGAGACCAGGAAAACTAGAATACAACAATAAATACCATACAAAAATGCAGTGCAAAGTCACTGTTTTAATCCAAAAACACGGTCAAAGTTTTTTTTTCTCTTTACGCACTGTGTGCTGCAGGATTTTTTTTATACTGCGCACACTGACCACATAGACCCATTATTTCATATGTAGGCCTACCAGCTTTCTCTCACTAAATTTGAAGGCGCTAGAATTTATGAATACTAGTACGTCAAGGACCCTGGTGCGTAAGCCGTACTAGTACAGCCGAAACGCTGAAAGGGTTAAAATACAGTAGTACCTCGAGTTTTGAACAGCTCCCAACTCAAACAATTATGTAAGTGTATTTTTGTAAGTGCTTTTTTAAGTGTATTTTGGGGGGGTCTGAAACAGATTAATCTAATTTACATTATTCCTTAAGAGAACAAATTCATTCAGTAACGGCACTCGAACAGCCTTTTGGAACAAATTAAGTTTGTAACTCAAGGTACCATTGTATGTTTTAATTACGTTCAGCGAGTTTTAATAGCAGTCTGCACACATAATGCATATGGATGTTTGAAAAGCTAATGTGAATTACTAGTACATATATACATACATAATATTCTAGCATTGGTGTATACTATACTACATACTATAGAAAATATATATTTTAAGGAAAAATTGCAATGAAACCCAATATTGTCTCGAGAGCTGTAGAGAGTAGTTTCAGGAGCTGCATGCAGCTCTTGAAACTACTCTCTGCATATACAGCAGTTAAAGCATGTGGAAAAAGGTTGAAGGTCATTAGCATGATGTATTGTAAGTCACTGCCATAACATATTTCTGATTGTAATGAACAATAATAGTGAGCAATCTGATGATGATTTAATTTTATAAAAAAAAACTGAGACACATATGCAACAGTTAGGTATCTTTATTTCGAAACGTTTCGCCTATACAGTAGGCTTCTTCAGTCGAGTACAGAAAAGTTGATAGAAGCAGAAGAGACTTGAAGACGATGTAATCAGTCCATCACCCTTAAAGTTTTGAGGCGGTCAGTCCCTCAGTCTGGATAAGAGCATTGTTCCATAGTCTGAAACAATATGGAGTTGAAGTGACAGGATGGAGCCTTATATAGCGCCAGGAGGTGAGACGAAGGTCACTAGTAGAAGTAAGAACGCAGATGTTGAGAGGGACCTGACCTCCCAACATCTGCGTTCTTACTTCTACTAGTGACCTTCGTCTCACCTCCTGGCGCTATATAAGGCTCCATCCTATCACTTCAACTCCATATTGTTTCAGACTATGGAACAATGCTCTTCTCCAGACTGAGGGACTGACCGCCTCAAAACTTTAAGGGTGATGGACTGATTACATCGTCTTCAAGTCTCTTCTGCTTCTATCAACTTTTCTGTACTCGACTGAAGAAGCCTACTGTATAGGCGAAACGTTTCGAAATAAAGATACCTAACTGTTGCATACGTGTCTTACCTAACAACCTGTTGGTATTTTATACCATTTTAATGTTCAAAAAAAAACTGTGTAGAAACTTACCTATTCTGTACTTCTCAAACAATTCTAAAACAAATTTCTTCTGATGAACTGCATAAAGTGTCCAGAAAGGCTCTACAGAGCCCCCTGCCCCCATCATAATTGCATTTCCACCTGAAATACAAGGAATTATTGTGCATCAGCTTCAAATTATAAGCAAAGATTGGAATCCATTTTTTTTTTAACATCAAAAGTCTCTCACTGAGGTAGAGGGACAAAAAGAAGAAACACTTTAACGATCACTGTTTTGCCAGACTGCATCAATACTACAGTTCAGACACCCCTCCAAACTGCAATATCCCCACCCCTCTTTCAGAGTGCAGGTACTGCACATCCCACTTCCAGGACTCAAGTCCAGTGGAACCCCGAATATCGGCCGTAATCCGTTCCAGAAGGTCGGCCTAAATTCGAAACAATATTTCCCATAAGAATTAATGTAAATACCATTAATCCGTTAAAGATACCCAAAAATATTAAAAAAAAAATACATTTTTTAAAGATTAATTATAATTTTACATACACAAAACAATGAGAACTAAATAAAATAAATAAATGAATATTTAAATCACTATTACATACCATTATTGAAGACTCTTGTTGACTGGTCCAGCGGCTAACGCATGGGTATGGAGTTTTGTGACTGATTGTGGGGTCTATCCCCACTCGAGGTACGGTTTGTTTGCAATTTGCAAGCCAATCCCATCTAACACACCCACACATGCCTGCTGAATATCCAAGCCCCTTGCACATAAAACCTCTTTTACCCCCTCCCTCCATCCTTTTCTAGGATGACCCCTACCTCTACCCCAACTTCCCCCCCCCCCCCCACTAAAGATTTACACACCCTCCAAGTCATCCTATTTTGCTCCACCTTCTCTAAATGACCAAACCACTTCAACAACCCCTCCTTGGCTCTGCGAATAATACGTACTTTAAGTAACTGTTCACCTCCTCCTAATTTCCACACTACAAATTCTCTGCATAATATTCATACTACATACTGCCCTTAGACATGACATCTCCAATGCCTCCAGCCTTCTCCTCACTGCAGCATTTACAACCAATGTTTCACACCCATATGATTTTTGTACTTTATACTTCATACATTCCCTTCTTTGCTGCCATGGATAACACTTTTTGTCTCTACAGATACCTCAATGCACTATCCACCTTTTTTTCCTTTATCAGTTCTATGGTTTACCTTTCATCCTTCATAAATCCATCTGCTGTCAAGTCTACTCCCAAATATCTTAATACATTCACGTCTTCCATACTCCCTCCGTCCAATGTGATATCCATTTTTCTTATTTTTTATTTTATTTTTTATTTATTTTTTATTTAGTAATTTGAGCATACATACAGAGGTACAAAAAAATACAGGTAAGAGCAGCATGCCAAAGCCACTTATATGCACAGCATTACGGGCTGGCTTACAATTAACTTGATTAACTAAGAAAATGATGAAATCGATAACTAAAACCCAAAATAGTATTACAAAAAAGGGTCATATGGTTGCATGCTTCTGTAATTCTCGAATGGGATTCTGTTAGTTTGGGTTTTTAGGTGTAACTTTTATGTATATAATTGGAGAAAACATTTAAGAATACAATTTTTAAAAGGGTTCAGTTATTCAGTATTTATTTGGTTTGGGTGATAAGTGTTTTGAGAAGAGACTGAATTTAAAACAGGTATGTTTTTTTATATTTACGGGAAATTTATTCCAGATTTTAGGCCTTTTATGTGATTGAGTTTTTGCATAGCGCAGATGGAACAGGAACATAAAAGATGATCGTCCCTTGTGTTTGGTCATGGTTTTGGTTGAGGTTGGCAAGGAGACGTTTGGGGGGAGGGTTAATATCAGATTTAAAGTGTTCATTTATGGATTTGGAAAGGGTTGAGGGGGTGGATAGGGGGGCAATGTGGCGATGTTGCAGGTGTATGGTTAGGAGGTAGGTTACTGAAAGCAGAAGGTTTTTAGAGGTATGAGGTAAATTTAGGTATGTACAAAAGAGGGAAATTTTTTCCCCATAAAAGTAGGCCTTAGAAAAGGGATGTGTATGTCACCGGGTTGTTTAAATATATTTATAGATGGGTTGAAAGAGAAGTAAATGCGAGGGTTTGGCAGAGGCGTGGAGTTAAAAGATAAAAAATCACACAAATGGGAGTTGTCACAGTTGCCTTTGCTGATGACATGTGCTCTTGGAGATTCTGAAGAGAAGTTGCAGAGATGGTGGATGAATTTTGGTAGGGTTGAAAAGAAAAAATTTGGGAAAGTGAATACAGGAAAGAGTAAGGTTATGGGAAAACAAAAAGATTAGGTGATAAAAGATTGGTATCAGATGGGGGAGAGAGTATGGAGGGGGTGAATGTATTAAATTTTTTGGGGGGGAGGTTGTCAGCGGAGGGTCTATGAAAGATGAGGTGAATCATAGAACTGATGGGGGAAAAAGGGTGGTGGTGCATTAGGGCCCGGGAGAAAAAGAACTTTGTCTTGGAGGAAAAGGGGGGAAATATGGAGAATATTTTTCCCAACGCTTTATAGGGTGTGAAGATGGGTATGAATGTTGCAGCGAGGAGAAGGGGAGGCAGTGGAGATGTATGTCTGGAGCAATGTGTGGTGGAATATAATGCAGAGAATTCGTATTTGGAATTAGGAGGAGGTGCGGGTTCCCAAAACTGTTGTCCAGAGGGCTGAGGAAGGTTGTTGAGGTGGTTCGGACATGTGGAGAGAATGGAGCAAAAACAGAATAACTTCAAGAGTGTATCAGTTGTAGTGGAAGGAAAGGGGGGTTTGGGGGGTCGGCCTAGGAAAGGGTTGGAGGGAGGGGGTAAAGGGAGGTTTTGTGTGCGAGGGGTTTTGGACTTCCAGCGGGCATGCGTGAGGTGTTTGATAGGAGTGAATGGAGACAAATGGTTTTTAATACTTGACGTGTTTTGGGAGTGTGAGCAAAGAAAATTTATGAAGGGGTTCAGGGAAACCGGCAGGCCGGATTTGAGTCCGGGGAAGGGGAAGTACAGTCCCTGCCTCTGAAGGAGGGGTGTTAATGTTGCTTTTTAAAAACTGTATTGTAAAGACCCTTCTGGCAAGCATGATGGAGTGAATGATGGGAAAGTTTTTTTTTTTAGGCCCCCCTGCCTTGGTGGGAATCGGCCAGTGTGATAAAAAAAAAAAAAAATAAGTGTTCTATGTATGTAATAGGTGCAATAATAAGTATGGATGTTTTGTATGGGATAGGTTGAGTGTTTTGAATTTGGTGGGTGTGCGCCTTAGTGAGAATTTTCATCATTCTAACTGCCCCCTTTTGTTGGGTAATTAGTGGTCTGAGATGGTTAATTGTTTTGAGCCCCATGCACAAATTCCATAGGGAGATAGGGGGAAAAAGAGAGTGTATAGGGCCAGGAGGGTGACTGTGGGCACTACCGTATCTTTAAAAGTATGCCTAAATCTGGGAAATTTTTTTTAGAAAAAATTTTTTTATATGGTTGAAATATGGTCTATTATCAAGGGGGATTCCTAAGAATTTTCCCTCTTTTAGCTTTGTGATAGGTGATCCGTTTATCATTATGTTAAGATGACATCTGTAGCTTGTTACCAAACTGAATGAAATAGGTTTTGTCAATGTTTTGGTAAGTTTGTTTGTCCCCATTCCCGGTAGATATTTTCTGTAATTCGGTATTTACAGTATTGGTTAGGTGACTGGGCTTGGGTGAGAGAAGACATATGTAGTGTATCTCAAATAGTGTGGGTTTTTAGTAAATTTCGAAGCATTTTAGGTATTTTTGTATAGGAGAAAAAGAAGAGGGCCAAGGACATTCCCTGTGGGACCCAAAATGTTTTTTTTGGGGAAGGCGCCCCCGCACACAATGGCTTTGGGGGTTTTTAGGGTTTTGGGATTTTATAAAGGTAATTTTTTGGGAGGGGTAGGGGTTTTTTAAAAATTTTTTAGCAAGTCTAATTTGGGTTTTTTTTTTATTTTTTTAGGTTTTTTCTGGTTTTTATTTTTTTTTTGGCCCGTTTTTGGAGGGGGGGTTTTTTTTGGAGGGGGGGTTTTTTTGTTTTTTTTCAAAATTTTGGGGGGGGTTTTTTATTGTTAATTAACAATATTTTGGTTTTTTTGGGGGGGAGGGGATTTGGAACGTAGGGGGGGGGGAAAAAATTTTTAAAAGTTTAATAGGGGGAATATTTAATTTTTTTTTTTAAATTGGTTTTTTTTGGGGGTTTTTTTTAAAATAAAAAAAAAAAAGTTTTAAGGGGGGGGGCCGTTAAAAATAATAAAAATTTTTTTAAATTTGGTAATTAAAAAACATAAAAAAAAAAAGGGCTTTTTTAAACCCCTTTTTTTTTTTTTTTTGGGGGAATAAAAAATTTTTTAAAAAAAAAAAGGGGGAAAGGGGGGGTAAGAAAAAATTTTTAAAAAAAAAAAAAAAAAAAAGGGGGAAAAGGGTGGGGGGGGATACAAGAAAAAGTGGGTGTTTTAAAGAAAAGGGGATTGTTGGCCCTAAGGAAAAAAGCTGAAGGGGGGAGGAAGGTTTTTCAGTGGGGGGGGGAAAATAAAGGGGATTTTAAATCTGGGGAATCTGGGAGAGAAGTTAGGCAAGGAAGGGGTAGCAGTAATGTTAAAAGATCAGTTTATGGAAGGAAAAAGAGAATAAATTTTAATGTGTAAATTCAAGAATTAGTTGGATTTTAAAAGTAAAGGTTTGGATGGGGGAAGTGGGTCATAATAAGGGTATGCATGGAGAAGAGAAGGAATGTAGAGGAGAGAAAAGATTTTGGGAATTTAAGTGAATTATAGGGCCCTTTGAACCAAGTGAGGGAGGTAATTGTGGGGTAGGGGACCTGAATGCTAAAAGGAAAAAAAATTTTAGAGAGGGTTTTGGTAGGTAAAAAATTTTGGGGGCCAGGGGGTAAATGATAATGGGGGGCCCTTTGATTTAACTTTGGGGGATAGAAAGGGGTTTAGTTATAGGGTTAAAAAATTTTAAGAAAAAGAGAAAAAATAAGTATACAAGATATGGTAGGGCGGAAATGAAGGAGTTTTTTTGGATATGTATTGGTGATAAAAGAAAATGTTTTAGTAGACTTTTCCCAAAAGGATGAATGTTTATAGAAA